TATATATATAAGGTGTTTTAAGTATAATGAATAGGCATAAAACCCCTCTCCTCTATCTACTGTGACCTATTTATCTAATGAAAACACGCATCACTCAGGCAGAAACAAGTGAATGAAAGAAGAAAATTGTTTTAGCATATTTGAAACTTCACGTGGTCTTTTTGTTAACAGCATGGGAAGAACTGTGGTCAATAGCCTGCAACTGACTGCGAAGATTCTGATTGTCTGCCAAGAGGCGGTCATATTCCATAAGAAACCCCTCAGATTGCTTTCTAAGAGCCTCCACCTCAGCTTCCATGGCCTTAGCCTTCCTTGCTTTTACTTCACACTCAGATTCCAGCTTCTCAATTTGGGGCTTCAATGTCGAAATTTCTTCCACCAAAGCCTTGTGCTCGGTTGCACTCACAGTTTTACCGTCCTCAAAACTTCGACTCTGTTTCTTAGCAGCTTCCATGGCCTTCCTCAGTAACCGAAGCTCTCTGATGTAGTGGTGCAATCTGTCGATCATCAGAGCCAGAAACAGCACAAACCCTGCCCACATCACCATATACGTCAAAAATCAATTTCCACCACTATTACATAACACATAATGATTTTAGAAACCAAACTCAACTTACAGAAAACATTTAATCGCCATTGGCTTCAGTTAGTTTTAGATGAAAAATATTTCTTAAAATGAACGACTTTATGACGATAAAAGTTGAATTTTGTAAACTTCTATAACAAAATAAAATAAACTATTTAGCAGTATCATGTATAGTTTATTGATGTTTACAATAACTGCTTTAGAAGCCATATTTAGATAATATAAAAGTTATTTTTTTTATACCAATTGTCTTGAAACTTATTTCAAAAATAACTACACATAAATGATAATTAAACAAAAGAAATGAGTATAAACTTAATCACAATTTGTGTAACCCTATTATTAGCATAGATTACTCATCCCCGAACACAGACACATATATCGTTTGAAACCTCGAGAGCGTACAACGTGGATATTTTCCTGTCAACAGAGTTTATTCCATACCCAAGGATTCAAACCCTTACCACTTTATCAGAAACATGAGCTTAATGTCAGTTTGGTTTGAAAAAAATACATCATCTTAATCTAAATCATATTTGTTTGACTTTTATACTACAAAGTCAAAGGACTCACTATAATAGAAAACACACACATAATATTTTTTTTACCTCTATCTATTTATGTTTACTAATAATAGAAGAAAAGGGACCATTTCCCAAAACATATACAGCTTAACCGAATTTTTATTCTTTTTATTCTATTTTACTGAGAAACAAGTAAAGAATCATAAGGTGTAATATCACAAAGGTAAATCACAGTCATCATGAATTCATTTTCCAGATATATAATTCTAGAGCACTGCACGCACAAGAGAAACGAAATTTAAGCCAAACGAAATTAGTTTACCCATAAGAGAAGCTTCGAGCGTGTGCTTAGAGACGAGGACTTGGTCGGTGGGGTTAACAACGGGAGCATCGAGGCTCCGACGCTGGATCTTGGCGATGCTGTAGAGCGAGGAAGCGAGCACCACGAGCAGCGTGGCGGCGACGGTCTTAACGACGACGGGGCCGCGGCCGCGCTTGACCCGATCCAATGTGACGATGACTAGCTTCCTGGCCGGAGTTTTGAAAAGGAATGAAACAATGACGAACATTTGGGCGAAAATGACGGCGTAGAGAAGCTGCAACATGTTGTTATCTTGGGTGATTGGTGCGTTGGATCGATTAGGATGAAAAGGGAATGCAAACCCTAGAATGGAGTGAGGGGTATTAAGGGGCGAGAATTGAGCGCGTGGGGTGAGTGTGGAAGAGCGTGTAGATCACACAACTCGGAGGAGTCGACATAATGGCGGTAGAGGGTGAGGGTATGGTCGTCATTTCAGTCTTTCCCTCCCTTTTCTCACTTTATTGCCTAACGGTCAACACACATCTTCCCACCTTCCTCTTTTCTTTCTTATTCCACAATCATTAATTCTCATCTCTTCAAATCAAGGATTCTTTCATTTTTGTTTCCAAATGCTATAGATCAAACGTAAGAAACATATATTGAAAAACAAATAATCCTACACTCCTCTAAACATCATGTAAAGTCATGAGTGTATTACGCACATCAAATTGGATGTATTATACCAATATTTTAGATTTGTACTTGTAAAAAAATATTTACTAAGTTATTTGTCAAATTTCACTACAAATATTAGTTATAATAAAAGTTATAAACGTTTCATATTAACAATTTCGTTACTAAAATGTGAATTAAATGTACTGTACATCATGGAATTATAATATGGTGTGACCTTAAATAAAGCTAGAAAAATATTAGATACTTACAAATAGACTTTCTTTGATTTGTAATACACTTTTGCATTATTTTAATAGAAAGTTCTATGAAAATTGAAAAACCAGATTTAACGGTGTTAATTTTAAATATTTTTGCAATATTTAGAGATTGATGAAGGCATGTCAGCAAGTTTATAATCACGACATACGGTTCAATCAACTGAGTTAAGTACCCTTAATTATTTTTGTCTGATATAATATATTCACGAAATATGATATGTTTCATATAAACTTTTTATTTATTTTTGTTTACTTCTTTTNCTATTTTACTGAGAAACAAGTAAAGAATCATAAGGTGTAATATCACAAAGGTAAATCACAGTCATCATGAATTCATTTTCCAGATATATAATTCTAGAGCACTGCACGCACAAGAGAAACGAAATTTAAGCCAAACGAAATTAGTTTACCCATAAGAGAAGCTTCGAGCGTGTGCTTAGAGACGAGGACTTGGTCGGTGGGGTTAACAACGGGAGCATCGAGGCTCCGACGCTGGATCTTGGCGATGCTGTAGAGCGAGGAAGCGAGCACCACGAGCAGCGTGGCGGCGACGGTCTTAACGACGACGGGGCCGCGGCCGCGCTTGACCCGATCCAATGTGACGATGACTAGCTTCCTGGCCGGAGTTTTGAAAAGGAATGAAACAATGACGAACATTTGGGCGAAAATGACGGCGTAGAGAAGCTGCAACATGTTGTTATCTTGGGTGATTGGTGCGTTGGATCGATTAGGATGAAAAGGGAATGCAAACCCTAGAATGGAGTGAGGGGTATTAAGGGGCGAGAATTGAGCGCGTGGGGTGAGTGTGGAAGAGCGTGTAGATCACACAACTCGGAGGAGTCGACATAATGGCGGTAGAGGGTGAGGGTATGGTCGTCATTTCAGTCTTTCCCTCCCTTTTCTCACTTTATTGCCTAACGGTCAACACACATCTTCCCACCTTCCTCTTTTCTTTCTTATTCCACAATCATTAATTCTCATCTCTTCAAATCAAGGATTC